CTGTTGCAAAGTGCTGTATTTCAGTGGAGGCATGTCGCTGCAAATCTGTTGTAGCTTTTGTGTTTGGCAATGACACGCGGACTCGCGCACGAAATTGTCAGAGCACAGAAGAAAGCCTAGGCAATGCCACTGCCACAGCATGCCTCGGAGCTAATTCGATTTGAAGTGCGCGTTTGAAGCACGGGTTGCACTTTTGTTTCGGGAGCATAGAGCTGCCTGCCAACGCCCAGAAGAGGCGAGGCACATGTTGCAGTGCCTCGAAAAAGTGCGTGCAATGAAGGTGACCTCATGCTTTGTCAGGCATCACTACGAATAGACAAAAGACATGCAACAACCAAGTTGCGGCGACCTGTATGGACAGAGCGCCCACATCAAGCACTCCTTTGGATTGTCTGGGCACAAGTGAGGAGCGCTGTCTTGCCGAGAGGTGCTCTCGAATGTGGGCTGCCTTTCCCTGCTTAGCGACCTGCCTTTGCTACTTCTGCCGGGCACCTGGCGTCAAATGGCAATGGCTTGTGAACCGATGCAAAGCAAGCGCCAGCCGCCAGTCTCAGCTTTCGGCATTTCTCATGTCACGGTGCTGTTTTCGAGGAAGGCTGAGTCATATCCAAAGCTTGCTAGCAATTGAATGTGGTGTTCGGTATTGTCACTTTGTTTTCACGTGCAGAAACTGAGTAAGCCAAAAACAATGTCAAGGGTTGTCTCGAGAAGACCCCTTTTCTGTATCCGTTGCTTCAGGACGACACGAATCACCAAAGGCTGCCTAAGCTCACTCTTCAGAAGGGAAAGGAAGGCCCGCGATACTGCGCTTTGAAGGATCCAAGTCAATAGCCTCGGAGAATGTGGCTCAGAATGTATGCTTCGGAAACGCCAACATTGCCTGGATCGGCCACTTTTCAAGCGAGAAGACCTGGCGACTTTTCCCGGTCACCAAAAATGGGCTCATGACCATGGCCCACTTCAGGGTCAGTGACCCAACGGGGCTCCCACTCTCACCATGGCTACCCATTCGCAAGGAAGTCGCTGGTGTACTTCCTGGACAGTGGGCTTCAGGCACCCAAGGCGCGGAGCCGCGGAGCTTTGGCCTCTTGGTCGGTTGACCTCCGATTTCTGGGACACCAGTTCGGACCATGGGTGTTTTGTTTTTTTTCTTTACGGGATGACATCAATAATGACACAGACGTGCTAGGGACCACGCAAGAAACCCACCTTGTTGTTTTCTCTCACCTATCAAGATGTCACCCTCAGAGTCGCAAGCTTGCGGCAGCGACACTTCGTCTCAGCTAAGGGCCATGAAGCCTGCAGCGCGAGTTTCCTCTGAAGGCACATGGATGCCCAAACCTGAGGCCATTCTCATTTGCTTAGAGGGCGGAGTGCTTGCAGCTTTTGCAGCGGAAGATCCAAGCATCCATTCATCCATTCATCCAGTGTGTGTGTGTGTCTGTGTGTCTGTGTGTCTGTGTGTCTGTGTGTCTGTGTGTCTGTGTGTCTGTGTCTGTGTCTGTGTCTGTGTCTGTGTCTGTGTCTGTGTCTGTGTCTGTGTGTGTGTGTGTGTCTGTGTCTGTCTGTGTCTGTGTCTGTGTCTGTGTGTCTGTGTCTGTGTCTGTGTCTGTGTCTGTGTCTGTGTGTCTGTGTGTCTGTGTGTCTGTGTGTCTGTGTGTCTGTGTCTGTGTCTGTGTGTCTGTGTGTCTGTGTGTCTGTGTGTCTGTGTGTCTGTGTGTCTGTGTGTCTGTGTGTCTGTGTGTCTGTGTGTCTGTGTGTCTGTGTGTCTGTGTGTCTTGTGTCTGTGTGTCTGTGTGTCTGTGTGTCTGTGTCTCTGTGTGTCTGTGTGTCTGTGTGTCTGTGTGTCTGTGTGTCTGTGTGTCTGTGTGTCTGTCTGTGTCTGTGTGTCTGTGTGTCTGTGTGTCTGTGTGTCTGTGTGTCTGTCTGTCTGTCTGTCTGTCTGTCTGTCTGTCTGTCTGTCTGTCTGTCTGTCTGTCTGTCTGTCTGTCTGTCTGTCTGTCTGTCTGTCTGTCTGTCTGTCTGTCTGTCTGTCTGTCTGTCTGTCTGTCTGTCTGTCTGTCTGTGTCTGTGTCTGTGTCTGTGTCTGTGTCTGTGTCTGTGTCTGTGTCTGTGTCTGTGTCTGTGTCTGTGTCTGTGTGTCTGTGTGTCTGTGTCTGTGTCTGTGTCTGTGTCTGTGTCTGTGTCTGTGTCTGTGTCTGTGTCTGTGTCTGTGTCTGTGTCTGTGTCTGTGTCTGTGTCTGTGTCTGTGTCTGTGTCTGTGTCTGTGTCTGTGTCTGTGTCTGTGTCTGTGTCTGTGTCTGTGTCTGTGTCTGTGTCTGTGTCTGTGTCTGTGTCTGTGTCCGTGTCTGTGTCTGTGTCTGTGGATGTGTGTGTCTGTGTGTGTGTGTGTATGTGTATGTGTATGTGTATGTGTATGTGTGTGTGAGATTGCATGGTTGGGTTGTCTTCTCCGCACCGGACAAGACAACTTCTGAACATGCATTCAATTTGGGGCATTGATGTCGTCATGCTTGCCTTTCAGAATCCACACTTGTTACTGGCTCTTGTCGGCGATGCAGTGGCAGATTGTGGCTCGCTCTCCTGTGAGGTCTCACCACATGAGCCTTGTGCTGCCTTGTTGCATGTTCCATGAACCTTTTGTTGGCCAACCCAATGAATTCCCTAGATGCGCATGATTCTCCTGAGTTGAACCACTGAGGCGCGCAAATTCGCAAAGCTGCAGAAATGGTGCGGATCACTTGGAGATTCGCAGCTTCCCATAGGCCTCCCGACTCTGCGACCGCCAGGTCACGCGCGTCTCCATGGGTGTGACCGCTATCCACTTGGCGCTGGCCCGGGGGCCGAAGCCACGAAGCCACGGGCGGTCGGGCTGGCGTCTAGGGAGGCTCAAAGAAGAACTCGGGTCATGCTTTTGCCGGTTGGGGGTTCTCAAAGCCAGAAAATGGAATCGGTTATTTCATTTCCCTTTAACCCACCACTTAGAGCGTGACTTTGATCATGGTAAAATAATGAAGCCAGCAGAACGCCCACTGCCCCTTTGGGGTCGCCTCGATTTCTCGTTCTGTCAGTATCCATCGCTGGCAACATGGCATTTGGGTTCTGGCAAGGTGGATCCCGCATGACACATTGCCGTTTTGGCACTCTCGTGCACTCGGAGCAGGCCTCACGTAGTGGACTTGGAGCCGCATCAAAACTGTGATGTTGATTGAGTGTTGCAGCAAGTCCAGATGCACCATGTTGGCCGCTAAGTTTTACAGCACCCCTACGGCTGGTAAACCTAGAACGCTTCAAGCCCAGTGGCCAAGTATGCAAGCCAGAATATGTTGCATCAGAACGCGTTTTTCGGCTCATCTTTCTTGTAGCGCCAGCACGCACTGGCAATGAGTCCAAGAGAGGACTGTGGCTGGGCTGATTTCAAGCACTTCAAAGTGTAAATTGCCAACAGGTCTCACAGGTGCACCAGAAAACACATGCCGGACTGAAGCTTGGAACTGCAAATGCAGCTGTGGATGTCCAGTCTATTGTTGCTGTTGTGTGCGTTCTTCTTGATGCTTCTTGGATATTGTTTGTCACGCGAAACTAGATATGATTCTCAATGGCATCATGTTATCCTTGAAACTCACACCGTTGCAACTTCTTGGCCTGTTGTCCAGCTGGAACATCAACGCTGCACTGGCAAGTTACACCGACCGCTTCCACCGGGCTTGGTGTGCGGTCTCTTGCCTTGGGGCCCTGGACTCGCGCGTCGTGGAGGCCCAAGGTCGTGGGTTGGTCACCACCGACGAGAGCTATGGTTTGGTGGTCAAAGACGCAACTTCCGTCATCTGTTGCGCCAGGAGTGCCATTGCCCTTCAGCATCTGACCACCTTACATGGATTCTCAGTCAACACATGGACAACAGACTCAGAACCTGGCCCGTGAGTCTGGCCCTTTGGTCCACAAATTGCTTGCTGACCCTCGGCGTCAGCTGCAAACCTAACTGCACCACTCGCAGATTGAAAAGACGAGCACGCTCGTCCAACAGCCACCTCCAAACCCCTTTGGTTTATTTGAGCGCCTTTTGCCAGCAATAGATGAAGCTTGGCTTTGAGCCCAAGGGGACCTAGGCATTTCTCATCGAGGCCATTTCTCATGCCAAAAACCCTCCGGCCAGCTCCGGCCTCCGGCCAGCTCCGGCCTCGCTCGCCTGCCATGCCATGGCCGGTCGGGACCTGGAGTTGGGGGAGGAGCCACTGGAGGAGCAGCTCGGATGGCCCGGTGGGTGACCCACCCCGGAGGGAGGCTCAGCCCGGCATTGCAAGCCTTGGACGAAATGAGACTGCCCTTCCTTCCTAACCCCAGCAATCCCGCACTTCTCAAGCGCCCATGAAAAATATTGGAAAAGCACTGCGGTGTTCAACTCGGTCGCAAAATCCAATTCCCCTGCATTTCCCCTTCATTCCATGCGTTCCCCTTAATTTCCTCGTCACTCTCTCTTCAGCCCCTTCATTTCTGTGTCATGCCCCCTTTCACTTCCCGGCACTGCTCTGCATTTCCGCACATCTTCCCTTCATTGACCCTTCGATTCCTCTTGTGTCCCGTCACCTCCCCTTCATTTCACCTTCCTTTCGCGTTCGAGCCCCCTTCACTTCGCACTTCCCCTTCATTTCAATAGTTTTGCCAAAAAAAAGATGCTGAACAACATGTTGTGTTTCAGCGGCTGGGGGGGGGGCCACGTACTGCACGCCTCCGTGTTGTTCAATATTTTTGGCGGGCGCAAACCCCAAGCCCTGCGTCATGGTTGTGCTTGGGGGGGGGGGACTGGGGGGGAGGGAAACCTCTATCCTCTCTTAGGTGTCCGACCGGCCGAACAATGCCGGCGGATATTGATACAACGGCAGTCAAATGGTCAATGATGTGTATTCATTGCTGGGACACCCCCCCAATCAAAAACAAGCGGGTAATGAATCCGAGGCTAACATTGGGCAGATGGGGAAAAAGAACCAACATATTGAAAGGATGCCCATTGCTTCCATTGCAGGCTACATCCTACATGACCCTAGATGGACATTTGAGCTAGTTGGGGTTATGTTTTGAGATCCAACAGCAGGTCCCTGATAAAATATTACAAGCCGAGGTGGTTTGTCTCAATCTGGGACTCCGCCGTGGTTCCACGTAAAAAAGGATTCATTGCAAGCCACTTGCAATGGCCTCCCCCAAAAAATAAATAAAACTGGCCTCACACACAACGCCTGGCCCAGGTTCTTCGACGCCCTGCAAGAAGATGTGGAGCGTGCCACCTGTTCGCCGACTCGACGAAACCCTGGCGCTGCGTTAACCTTTCATTCCTTTTCCAGGCGGGCTGGGCGAAACGGGTGCCATGGGGAACTGTGGATTGTTTTGTTGTTTTTGCGCCTTTCCAAGCTCTTGCTTCAACAATGTCACTTGGCAGGCGCATGTACTCATGATCTTCATGACAGTATGCCTGGGAGTGAACTCGCAAACTTGACCGGGGAGCTTGTTTTCCTGGCAAGTCATGGGGCACCGGACATGACCGGTTGTCTTTGTCTCTGGCAGGATAGAATCACTCACGACCGTGAGACCAATAGAACTAGGAGCTACAGTAGGAGCCAGCTTCATGGAAGTCGAGAGCTACCGCCAGCTGATCCAGAGTGAGTTTTATGACTCCATGAAAAGCTGAGGATAATGATGATGGTGATTGCAATGATGGTGATGACGATGATGGTGATGGTGATGGTGATGGTGATGGTGATGGTGGTGGTGGTGGTGGTGATGATGATGATGATGAGGACGACGACGACGACGACGAGGATGATAATGATGATGAGGACGACGACGAGGATGATGATGATGAGGATGAGGAAGAGGAGGAAGAGGAGGAGGAGGAGGAGGAGGAGGAGGAGGAGGAGGAGGAGTGGTGGCAACGGGGTTAGCGCCGATGGTGACGTTGGTGCTCGTGGTCGTGGTGGTGGTATTGGTTTTGTTCTTGGTCGTGGTGTTGTCGTCGTTGTCGTCGTTGTCGTCGTTGTCGTCGTTGTCGTCATCGTCATCGTCAAGCTTGGGCACGCTGTGCAGACCTACGATGAATCCAGTAGATACCCAACACCCTTGGTGCGGTGAGTGTTCCTAATTCTGCACTTTTGACTTTTCCAAACCTTGGTATGGATGGTATCGTGTCCGTGTTCCCCCCCCCCCTCCCCACCGGGCCCCCCGCCCCAACCATTTGTAAACCACTACGCATCCCGCACCCCGGCACTCCCGCAACCCGAGCAATCCAACCCTCAAGCAACCCCAAACTTCAAACCAACCCTGAATCAATCCTAACTTGAGCAGAAGGAACCCTAAGCCCACGTAAGCTGAATCAATTCAACTCTAAACCACTAAACCAACCCTAAGCCCATCCTCAACCAACCCTACACCACAACCACAGGACCACAAGGAGGGGGTGGAACAGCCAAACACAGGACCGGGAGGGCTATTTGCATGACCTATGATGGGTGGGGGGTAGGGGCAGGGGGGGGTGGTTAGGGACGCTACCCCATGGATGCTACCCAGACAGGGCTTGTGCGACCTGGGTTTCAGAAAAGCTCGCTTTTTCTTATTCGGGCTGTGCGCAGGAATAGTTCCTGCTCTTCCATCTACCATGACGCCCTGAGCGACTGGGAGCTGGAGCCCCCGCCAGTGCCGCCACCCAGGCCGGGTGTGAAGAAGCACTGATGGGGGGTTCCTAAGCTTGACACGTTCCCCGGGCAAAGATTGAGGCAGGAAGCAAAGAGGACGAAGAACTTGCTACAACATTACAGCATTACATCCTTCGGTCCTTCGGTGATTTGTTGAACCCACGCTGGGGTATGTTGTTTGGATGTGTTGGTTGTTTGGGAAACGATATCATTCACCCGTCCAAGCTGGTTTTGGGTCGCGCTTCCTGACTGACATGCCGGTCACCCAATGGAAGGTGGTATCCACAGCTCTGAAGTCCATGCGCCGGGTCTATCCGACATCGACATGATATGGATGCTTACCCATATGGCTGTGGGTCAAAACCAATGGTACCATTTAGGGGTAGGTGCACCACCCATTTTAGTCTATTTTAGTGGGGATTGGGATGTTGACTGGGGGTACGGGGTTTAGACCCATGGCCATTTTGTTGACTCCATTGTTGGAGTCAGTGGCTGTAGGTTTGCAGCTGGCTGGCCAAGCAGCGCCTGAAACGGACTTCAACGCAGGTGCTGTCTGTTCAAAAGGCTGCTTGCTGGTTTAGCCTCATGTTCACCGAAAATTGTAATAACGATCCCCATTGTTGCGCTGAATTGGAGCCTCTCCTGTGTCAGAAGAGCATTCATTGGACCAGGAGACTTGCCGAAGCATTTCTTTGATCAGTCCTCAATATTTGGCTTGGGGATGGCGACCGCATGGTGATCACTTCTGTTGCTGTGTCGAGCTGCCCGGGGCCAGGATAAAACGAGCCGCACCTTTCCAAAAAATGGTCATGGTCCTCTCTCCGGCGGCCCGTGGGCCCGTGGGCCCGTTCTCCAAAAAATTGCAGGCCACATAGCAGGATCACTGCAACAGGATTTGTTCAACCATCCTGGAGCGAGGTGGTCAAGGGCAAGAGCATTAGACCGACCGCCTGCACGCAAACGCCCATATTTCGCCAATTGCCGGGGCTCGTTTTTTTTTTTTGTTTCTTTGTTTCCTGGGGCTCCCAGTCCAGAGGCCGTTGCTGCAGCCGGCCTGGGCGGCGGGCTATGAGCCGGGCAGCGTGGTGACCGCGCTGGCCATGGGATTCTGTCTCCAGGCGCCCTGGGAGGCCTGCGTGCGATGTCGACGCGGGAAGGCCTCGACTCGGCTTGAGCTGAAGGCTGCGAGGAGTCTGGGGTTTCAAGACTTGGCCCCTTGTGTTTTCTGACACATCCGCAAAGAGACTACCAAAAGCAAAAAAAGTAAAACTAAGGTGCTTGGTCAATCATGCTAGGGACAATCTGATCCTGCTTTGGCGCACGAGGCACAGTTGTATTGTTTGGTAGTCGTGCCAATCTTACTACCATTGATCTTCGCGCTTAATTTAGAGCAATATCACAAACGGTCAATATTCACTCCACTTCCAATGTCAGTTGGCATGATATTTACCATGGCTCCAAAGCAGACGCTGCCGTTCCAAGCCGTCAGTTGAAATATGTTGAGTGTCGGAGATTTCGAGATAGAGCTGCAAAAAGCCGACATTTGTCTGGCTTGAGCTGCGCATGTTGTCGCAAGATGAATATTAGCTGTGCACCGTGAAAAGCCTTGAAACGTGCAGCTGACATATGCAAGGTGGGACTAGTCAGGAGCTCAACAACATGCAGTTGTCTTTGAGACTCCTTTCAGCACCATACATCCAGTCCACGCACACACGATCTCCACGGCCGCCCCCACAAATGTGTGCGATGGAGGTTGATTGACTACATCCCTGCAAGAGTTCTTCATCTCCGTAATTTAGTGTAGTTTAATTTCTAGCGGAATGTAATTAACATCACCTCCCACTCGGTGAGCACAGGCCGGTAACGAGCTGCCGACGCTGCTTGCGATCTTTGCGCTGAGTGCGTTGCTGGGGAGCCTGCTGTCTGACAGGCGCCAACTGGGCGGACAAACCGGAAGAAAGAAAAGAGGAACAACATCCGCTTTTGCACAACATGAAGGGCCCTGACTTGACAGATACATGATTCCGAAACATCAAAGATATATAATATGTATTCTTTCTTTGTGTGGCCTCTTGGATAGCCGTGGTGAATTTTTAGACACAGGAAGCTTTCAGACTTGATGAGAAACAGTTCAGTCTACATAGGGTGACAACGGTTCAGGGTTTTGATGGGAGAGCTCTTTAGATGTTGATCTGCCAACCCTGCTACCCAGTTGTATTGGAAGTGCTGATTTGAATTGAAATCGGGAAGGTACAGCTGAAATCGGGGGACAAAATGTTCAAGCCCTTCCACAATTTCACACTTCAACCCTGCGCACCCCAAAGCTTGCGCAGCGGATTCAAGTCAGTCCAACGGGGCTGGATTGGATGGCATACATGGGTCGCAGGGTTCGGAGAAGTCAAGGGTTTGAGTATTTCGTTCATCTATGTTGGGCACCACTGCCTACACCACCACCCCAACCAAGACCACCCCGAAACCCACCACATACCATCGCAACACATGAGACTTTGGGCTGAGTTCAGGTTGCAGGTGCTGTGCTCGCTGCTGGCGGGCTGGTTCCTTTGCTCCTGGCGCTTCGCGCGGAGTGGCGAGCGGCGTGAGTTGGAGTGGGCGGCCGCGGGGCTGGCGCTGAGTAGCCGCTGGCGCTGAGTAGCCACATGGGACACGGGAAACCTTTGCCTGGTTGTTTGGGTCAAAAAAAACGCGGATTTACTTTTACGGCAAGTTCTATTTTGGGGTAGGGGATTTACTTGGCAGTTTGGAAGCTTTGTCCGGATCCCTTTTGCCGTCATCGAGAGCTGTGGGTGTATCTTGATGTGCTGCTTCGGGGCGACTTTTTAAGTTGGCCAATGTAATGCGCCTTTTAACTCCGTCAGCAATCGATTAGTAGACTTGAAGCTGCTATGAGCCTTGCACTGGCTTTGTGTCGCCAATGGCTCAACTGGTGTCAATTCCTGCACCCGGAAATGACAACGTTGTAGGCAAGACTCACTTGTTGTTGTCAACCTTCAAGCTCTTTTGGCCTGTTCAATCTAGTAACATCGTCGCGCGATGGTTGAAGGACTTTATGATGCCCTTCTACCCGAAGAGAGGTACCTCCCAACAGTGTTCCCTCAATTCTGCTGCCCTCATGCTTCACACATGTGTATCTTTCTCAGTCAAGTGGCCCGCTTCTACCCCACCTCACACTTTCCTTATCCAAAGGCATGCTGGCCGGGTGTGTCATTTTTTGAGTGTACACATTGTACCCTTGGGGTTAGTCAGGAAAAAAACACAATTTGATTGGGCTACCCTTGGTTAGTTTGGAGGAACAAATCAAGCAACAAGTTGGATTGGGCCATTCTTGCCATTTCTCCCATGAGTCTAGGGGTTGATTCCCCATTCTTTTCAACCATCGTTCTTTTCAAAAACCGGATACCCCTGCAATTCTGTGAAAATTCCAATCCATGAGCATGTCCCAGGCAGAATGGGGAAGGTACCCCTAGAATGAGATCCTCGGATGCATGGGATGCATAGCGAGGCCTCCTGTCCCGCGTCTTCGCGCTGGAGCGCAGCGCGGTGCGCCTGGGCGCGGCGCTGAGCTGCGCGCTGGTCGGCCTGCAGCTGGCAGACCTCGCCAGGCGTGGGGTGGGGTGGGGTGGGGTGGGGTGGGGTGGGGTGGGGTGGGGTGGGGTGGGGTGGGGTGGGGTGGGGTGGGGTGGGGTGGGGTGGGGTGGGGTGTGGGGTGGGGTGGGGTGGGGTGGGGTGGGGTGGGGTGGGGTGGGGTGGGGTGGGGTGGGGTGGGGTGGGGTGGGGTGGGGTGGGGTGGGGTGGGGTGGGGTGGGGTGGGGTGGGGTGGGGTGGGGTGGGGTGGGGTGGGGTGGGGTGGGGTGGGGTGGGGTGGGGTGGGGTGGGGTGGGGGGTGGGTGGGGTGGGGTGGGGTGGGGTGGGGTGGGGTGGGGTGGGGTGGGGTGGGGTGGGGTGGGGTGGGGTGGGGTGGGGTGGGGTGGGGGGGTGGGGTGGGGTGGGGTGGGGAGGGGTGGGGTGGGGTGGGGTGGGGTGGGGTGGGGTGGGGTGGGGATGGGGTGGGTGGGGGGGGTGGGGTTGGGGTGGGGTTGGGGTGGGGTGGGGTGGGGTGGGGTGGGCTGGGGTGGGGTGGGGTGGGGGCTGGGCTGGGCTGGGCTGGGCTGGGCTGGGCTGGGTGGGCTGGGCTGGGCTGGGCTGGGCTGGGCTGGGTTGGCTGGGCTGGGCTGGGCTGGGCTGGGCTGGGCTGGGCTGGGCTGGGCTGGGCTGGGCTGGGCTGGGCTGGGCTGGGCTGGGCTGGGCTGGGCTGGGCTGGGCTGGGCTGGGCTGGGCTGGGCTGGGCTGGGCTGGGCTGGGCTGGGCTGTGGGGGTGGGGTGGGCTGGGCTGGGCGGCTGGGCTGGGCTGGGCTGGGGGTGGGGTGGGGTGGGGTGGGGTGGGGTGGGGTGGCCAAAAGAAGAGAGAAGGTGGGTTCCAGGTATGTTGTGTTCGTGGTGCTTGTGTTTTTGAGATCGGGGACCCAGATGAATGAGCCACGTAGGCCAGACATTCTTGGGGCTGCTTGTATTGAGCAGCATTTGGGATTTGGCCTGCCACATTGGAACTCATGGATGAGAAGCACGAAGCATGCACCTTGCGGCATTCGACAGGGTTTGCTCTCCGCCCATCACCTGGGGGGACGGATGGAGTGGCAGTTATCAGGAGTCTTGTTTGTTGGAGCAAGCACCGACCGGAGTTGGCCAAGACGACAAGTGCATTGGGTAATCGTTGGTTGCCTCCGTGTTTTTTCTTTCTTTCTTTTTTTCCTTCTTTTTTAATAACAAGGCCGCCAACACATAAATAAAGCAAGACATCGATACTTCTTTCACTGCTCAAGATCCATGAACTCTGTGAGGCATTTGCTAGAACTTCAAGGGTAGCGTTGTTCTTGCTCGATGCGTCGTGTTGTCAAGCATGGAACCAGTGAGCAGGTCTCCATTGTGTCAACGTGAGCACCAACATGCATGCTATCAGAAGGCTTGAGTGGGCAACCAGCGCAAGCCTCGAGGTCGGTCCCCTGGACGCCTCAGCCAGGGATTTTGAGGGGCAAAGCTTGGCTGCCACAAGACAGTCAGCAGCCCTTGACGAAGGCACAAAAATGTTGAACACGCTCAGATTTGGCAGTCAACCGGCAAACCTAGGTCACTACCGGCTTTTGCGGACCCTGTGTGGGGTGTGTTTTAGGCTTCAGGGCGAACCATTCTGGTCATTTTTGGTTGTTTGGGGAGTCGATTGTGGAGCATGCCGGTCTGACAACAATCACACAGCTTAATTCCCAGGTCTGGAAGGGGTTCTGGCTGGTGCTATCCTCACTCCCTGCGCCTTCCCCAGTTGGCGGCTGCTGTTGCTGGCTGGGCTGGGGCACTTTGTGGCGCAAATGCCATCTGAGCAAAGGGCGGACCGGGTTGGGTTCTCTTGTTTGGATGGCAGGGGTTCTAGTGAGGGCATTGCAAACCACACCCCCCAGCCAAAAAAAACACGGGCGAAACAGAACCGTGCCTGAAAGACAAACACCCTCTCTTCCATCGAACCTCGTAGCAGGCTCTATGTGGGAGGGTCATGTTGTTTGGTTGACTGTATAAAGGACCCCATTCCCTTTCCCTCCCCCCAAACAGGAAATGAGCACCGTCCTTTCTTGCTGGTGAGAAGTCTTCTGTGTTATGGGAAATGGAATCTGTGGAAACGGTTCCCAAGCCCTTGCTCCCGCTGCCCCCCAGTTTGGTTGGTTGATTGGGGCCCTTTCAGACGGCAGGGCCAGGTCCATGCAAGCTATGCCCAATGCCTATGCGTTGAATCCCTTTTGGTGCCTAAAAGTCAGAGCAAAGATGTGTGAATGCCAATGCTTCGAAGCGTGGCTGCCTATGGAACATTGTGTCGACGCCCTTCTTGCAAGGAAACTGGCAAAATGATGGGCTTCCAAGTACATTCCTCCGAGCGCTGTTTCTTCACTTGTTCGAGCTAAGCAACTACCAAAGATAATCATGTGGACTTAGTCCTTGCTACGTAGCAGAGCCCAGTGCACGCCATATTGAGGAAGTGAGAGGCAGCTTGTTTTCTTTCCCAGACCATTCACGAAAGCGACCGGCTGGTTTTCCCAGAGTTCCGCACAGCCATTGCATTCAAGGACGACAGGTGTGGCTTTGTTTGCCGTGCAGAAGGGGAGGCGATAAACCTTCCGTGCCCTATCCGAACCATAGGTGTCCTTTTTGGTTGTTTTGGAGAAAAGAACCGATGGCGATTCCTGGCTTACCTGGTGGCTTGATTATCTAGCAGGGAAATCCATGTATTTCCCTAAAAGGACACCTATGATCCGAACACCCATGAGCTCGGCTCAGCTCCTTGAATTATTGTTTCTTATTCCATCCTGCCACTATACTCTAGAACACTGGTGTGCTCAGTGTTTGCATTGGAGGTGCAGGAATTTCTTGAACACCGATTCTGCTTGCACACGTCAAGACCTGTGATGAGTGACAAACAAGTTGTGTGACAAGTGGAACATCGCAGGGCCAGGACATGTATGCACGCGTAGATGCATACACTGCGCAATCCCACAAGTTTGCACAGTCACACACCCAACAAATTGCACACATGCACACGTGTGCCTACGCATGCGCACGCACGCAGGCACAACCATATACAAACGCATGCGCACACACAGAACAAAGACTCATATTCGCTGATAAAGCATGCCCACGCACACATTGCACTTGCCAATATTATACATGTACTTGAATGTACACACACACACAGACACGCACATGTGTTTGCACGGGTATGCACACACACATATACACCTGCGCATACAATGCTCGCACAGCTTACACACACACACACACAAACATGCATGCACATGCACGCAAAAACATGCAAGGCTGTTTGTTTCAAAGTGTGTTTTGCTCCTTTAAAGCAAGGCCGGTCCCTTTTGGACGCACAAACAATAGATGAGCCAAGAGATGTTCTGAGGATAGAACATGACTTCGAGAGGACTCAAGCACGACCACTGGTTTGTCCTTTGCTTCAGCCTCCAACTTTCCTCTTTACGCAAGAGGTGTCCCTTGGAATGACTGGTTGCTGAGGCCTCCAGGGATGGAAGTCAGGGACATGGCCTCCAGGGGCATGCGAGGTCTTTCCAACGACTGAACATGAGCTCCAGCCTCATGGGGACGTCCAGACCCCGGCGCCCACTCCAACAGCTCACGGCGCATCGAGCGACCGAGGCTTTTGCTCCTCTCCACAGAGAGGAAGCGCCAGAGTCGTGCCAAGGCCGGGCGTTTCCCCTTGCCTTTCGCCGGCGGTGTATCACATTCGTGGCTGTTTGAAGGATAGCCTGATGCAGCAGACCCCGAGGTTAGGGCTAGAGGTGATGGTAGCCCATGTGCGATTCATTCTGAAAAGAGGATCCAGAGATAGAGGTTAGAGGTTACCAAGGTTAGGGTTAGAGGTTAGGGTTTGAGGTTGGAGGTGAGGGTGAGGGGAGAACCCTAACCTCTAATCCCAACCTCTAACCCTAACTGACCTCTATCCGAACCTCCAACCTTAGCCTCTAACCCTAGAGGTAAGGGTTAGATGTTGAGTTGGAGCTTAGGGTTAGAGGTAAGGTTAGAGGTTAGAGTTAGGGGTTAGGGTTAGGAGGCTAGATTTAGAGGTTAGAAGTTAGGGTCGAAAGGCGCCAGCTGTGTCAAAAGTCCTCCGGACCTCCTCCCCCCCCACTTACAACACGCCTCGCCCTTTGCGGAGACTAACATGGCTCACATTGGTAGTCGTCCACCCTGTACCGCTGCGCGTTGTTTTCGCAGGCTTTGATGTATATATATATATAATACACACATATTTCTGCATCCGGCACAATTGCTCTCAAGCAGTCGCAGATGTGATTTCCTCACTGCTTTCGTGGGAGCGGTGTTACGGTAGGGCAATCATGTTCGCAACTGATGGAGGCTTTGTGCTGGTTCTGGGGCTGGTCGGCAGCGTCTCGCGTTGAAGGAACACAACACACATATTACATTCAGAATTGCATTATATGTTTATGATACCGTTTTACGCTTTCTGCTCAGTCAAGACTAGGGTGCACTCCTGCAAATCTCATTCGCATGTTTCATTTGAGTGGTGTCGCACAGTGAAATTATTTGTTCTGGGCGGCTCGTTTGAGGCCAAAGTGTAGCTGATGTTTGCACAAATCCACGCTCTGTTGGATGTTTGTGTGACGTATGCACTATCGCGTACCTGGCTGGCAAATGTGGGTGTCCATTTGCATGAGCATGTCATGTTTTCCCTTCGTGCGGCACTTGCCGAGGATCGACATGTTTGATAACAGCGTCTACACTCCGCGTGACGTGTGTTTTGTGTCAGCGCATACAGTGCTGTTCCTGTTGGTGTTTGCGTTGAAATTCGTCCTTGTGATTGGCGTCTTCGTTCAAACACACCTCGTTGTCTTGCTGGTCTGACCTTTTGCAGCAGATGTTTAAGATGTTTGGCAAAACCTGCAGATTGGCAGAGCAGGTTGATATAGCCGGAGTGTTCAGCAACATGCGTATCGTGTCTGAGTGTTCAGATTGCCCACACACGCACACACGATGTCAGGGGTGTTAATGACAAGCATCTCCTCGCCAGCTGCGGGAAGCAATCAGGCAAGATACCTTTAAAGTGTTTTGAAATGTTTTGAACCTTCTTTCTGCTGGGCGTATCGTTTTGGCAGTTTCCGCACCGCGCGGACCATTGGCAAGGCTCAACTGCAAGCTGCCAGCATGGCTTGGCTATGAACTAAAGGAGCTTTTGAGAATTTCCAACTGGGCAGTTGAAGGGCCAGTTCCAGAGTTTGATTTCTTTTCCATTCTTCTCAACCATCATTATTTCCAAAAACCGGCCGTTTTCCCTGGGTTTCCGGAGGTGTTCTAGAAAGATTCGGATCCCTGGGTATAGAATGGACATGGAAGGTACCCCTAGAAGTACGTTGCTTGGGACTTGTGAGGTGGCCCGCAGCAGCATGGAAGAGATCTGCGTGGCGGTGTCGCGCGCCTCGCAGGACGGGGGAGCCAAGCAAAGCGGCCAAGCGCAGCAGCACGTGTTGGGTCCACTCCCCGATCGATTGGCTGAAAATTATCAGCCTGAACTGACTCGGCTGTGGGTCAAAACCAATGGGATCCCATCTTGGGGTAGGGGCTAACCACCCAATTTAGAACCTATTTTAGTGGTTGGATTGGGATGTTCACTGGGGGTACGGGATTTTGACCCTTGGCCACTTGTACTGTGATTTGAGCAGCCATTGTTTAAAGCACAGACATTTTGCAGGAATCAAGTAGAAGCAGTGTGAAGATGGCATTTGTGTGATCCCGGATGGGAAGGATATGTTGTTTGCACCTGCATTAATGATTGCAGGTTGCTTGGTTATCCTTTCCGCAGCCAGTGCAACGCACTCAGCTGGAGAAGATCGTTCAGGTTTCCTGTCTTTGGCGCTTTATGCTCATTTGGATCAGGCAGGTATCGATTCCAGCCATCTAAGCTACTGTGGGTCAAAACCGTTTTGGATCCCATTTTGGGGTAGGGGCTAACCACCCATTGTAGTGCACCACCCACTTTAGCACCTATTTTAGTGATTGGATTGGGTCCCGTGCACTGGGTGCTAACCGATTTGGATTTTGAGATTTTGAGCCATGGCACGTCGATGGTAAATCAACCATTTTACCGGGCAAATGAGCAAGTGACTCATGTGGCACCTTTTTGTCGGACAAAGCCTCCCCTAAAACCGTAGAGGAGGCTTGGTTCTTCTCCGCCGCGTGCGCGGTGGCCAGCCTGGGCTTCGGCGGCCGCCACCTGGGCCTCTTGGGGCTGAAGCCTGAGGGGTGCACATACCCTCCGAACCCCAAAGAAGAATTTTCCTTACCCTTGAAGGGGGTTACCACCCCTCGAAACACCCCAAACCCTTGAAACAGAATACTCCGATCCCCGGAATGGTCTGAATGTGTCTCGGAAGGGGTGGTTCTCATGAGCGCGCCGCGCCCGGGGAAATGGGGCGACTCAGAGTTCTGACTAGCTAAGTCAGCTCAAGCAGGAAAGATGGCACCTCATCGGCAGGACGTTCTCCCCCGAAAGCTTGGAAGAGTTCATGGTAGAGGCATTCTCCTCCTCAGGTTTACATGATGCGAATTTGTCCTCGGTGCTTCTCCTCAAAAAGCTGTTTGCGTAGAAGGAAGGAAGCATGGCTTAAATTGCAGGTTTTGTCTGCAGAAGGCGCTGACTGTGTGTCTCGGGGTGGGCAGCCTTTAAGATTGTTATTCCCAATCAGATCGAAGCAACTTTGTTTGCCCTTCTTCTCCCTGGACGGACATCGAAATGCTGCATTTGGTCCACTCCCTTGTTCTATCTGAAGAGCGAGGCCTGAAAGACAAAGTCCAAATCCATGTCAACTAGTCATTCAGATACACCTGAGGCTCTCTGGTCAGTTTCCTCCCAGGCCCGCAATGTCTGGACCTCTGTGGGGGGACGCCTCCACAGCGCCTGCGTCCTCTGCTGCTGCTGTTGGCGCAGCTGCCACTGCTGCTGGCTGCAGCGGCGCAGAGCGCGGCCTGGAGCGCCCCACTCGGGCCGGGGTAGCGAAGGGCAGTGAATGGGCCGGGATTGAAAATCTTGAAACCCAGGAAGGTGGCTGCAAGCATGTGTGTTTTGTGTGTTTCCCAACAAACCCCGTCTGGGGTTGGGTTCTTGTTGAGTTGTCTAACCGCCAGGGAGCGAGGATGTTGTGAGAGTACGGTATATCGCGTGGACGCCGCTGGCTGAGAAGCGAGAACGAGGTGATATCGTTCGCGTGCCGGTGGGATTTGGTTCGGAGACTCTGCGCGACCTCTGCGAGATCTCTGCGAGACCTCCACGAGACCTCCGCACGACCTCTGGGAGACCCTATGCGAGACCTCCGCGAGAGCGAAGATGTCTGTCTCCTCACAGGTGTGGCAGAGAGTTTGCACAAAGCCTTTGCGCAGCGTATTCCTGGACTTCGGGATCTTTCTTCTTGCTTCTGTCGGCCTGACGCTGGACTAGCATGGTGATATGGCGTCCGCGAGACCTGTGCACAAATCTTCCAAACTTGTTGCTCCAACGATCTTGGAGCCAACAAACGGGATCTGCGCTCAGGACGTGCAAGCCCCTTCTCGGGACGTTGCGAGCCATGACGCAAGCAGTGTCCCCAGCCTCGCTTGTTTGCGTTGCTCTTTGCGAGCCTGCACTTGGTGGAGCTTGTGATGTACAATTGCTTGGTTGGTGGGTTCCCTGGCTCTCCTGGTTGCTACATGCAGTGGCCCTCATGTGTGTGAGAAACAACATGCCAGGACAATGGAAAAGGGGGCGTAAGAGAGGGTGTCTTGCATGTCATCACTCATGCAAGAGTGCCAACAGTCCTTTACCCATGAACAGCATTCCAAACGTGCGGTTTTTTGAACTCAATTCAACTTGCTGGAGTGTTGTTTTCAAGCAATGTCGCTTTTAAATCAGATCTCCTCCGATTCGTGTGCGCTCGCCCTGAGTGCATGTCCGAACTGAATGGAGCCTGGAACACTTTAGCGGCAGAGTGGCCTTTGTTTGATACCACGGATTGACTTCGCAACGGGGGCTGGTGTGAAGACGTGTACATGTTTCATGGAGTGCAGCCTGTGCATGGAGACGATCTCAAGTAGTTTGGGCAACTACGCCCAGATCCTGTTTTCGATCATCTTTCGGGCCAATGTCCAGCCAGTAAACCTCACATGCATATTCGGCGTGAACAGATACGAAGAAACTTTGCCTCTGGACCTCAGAGCGGCCTTCCAGTCAAAACCCTCGGCTGTGTGCTCACAGGCTCGATCCTTTTTCCGCGCTGAGGTGAAGCAAGGAGTCTGAAGTGGGCCTTGGCGGCGCAGGGCCTGGGCTTCAGCCTCTTCGGAAGTTTCCCGGAGGAGTCCCGCGTTGGCTGCTGTGATCTGAGGGAAGGACATGGCCCACATGCCACTCACCCAATTGGCATTTGGAGATTACTCAAAGATATCACTTTGTTGGCCGTCAGCTTCCGCTCTTCGACCGTGAAGCATCCACCGCTGTGCGGCGGTTGGTTTGGTTGCAGCCTTTGCCTGCAGATATTTCTAGCTGGTCTCAGGCTTCATTTGGATTAACCATGCTTGTAAGTGCGGCGGGGAAGTGATGCTGAACCGAGCCTAAGGGACTGTTCATCACGACTGGTTTGAAGTCATTCACAGGCATCCGTCCTTCGGCCAGCCGACACACAATGTGATGCCAGCCGAGAGTTTGGTCCTGGCCAAAAAGATGCACTGCTGTGGGCTCAGAAGACCTCCAAGCCTTTCAAGCTACCCGAATCCTACCCAACAGCTTCCCGAAAGCCTGGCAACCATTGGGGTGCGTCTTTTGTAGGGGACCCCCCCGCCCCAAAGAAACCAACACAACATGTGGTTTTCCTTGAAGGTTTGTTTCCCTTTACAAAACCACCAAAAACAGGGATGCCCCCCCCAAAAAAAAAGACCCAAACCACTTTCCAGCATCCCATCCCTCAGCTCTCCTTCCCTCAGCTCGATTCGTGGAGGACGCGTCCTGGGCGCACGGCACCCCCGCCAGTGGGGGCTCGGTGCTCTCGGGCACCGCGGTGGGCCGGGCGCTGCTGCTGCACCTGGCACTGGCGGCGGTGCCCTTTTTGGCCGCCGCAGCGCCGCGGAAAAAACGTTTTAGCCTTTGGCGCTGCGGCTTCCGAAATCTGACCGAAATTGCCCCCAGGGCGGCGGAAAAACGGGCGCGGAGGAAGCCTGTTTCCCCTTTCATTCCTCCATTTTTTCGGGGGGCGCCAATGCTATGAGTGCCTTGCCTCCTATCAATGTGGCTGTGGTTGCCAAAGCCGTTTTTTTCGATCCCATTTTGGTTGGTAGGGGCTAACCACCTAGTTTAGAACCTATTTTAGTTTTAGATCCTATTTTAGAACCTATTTCAGTTTTTGGTTTGATATTGAACGCAGAAGCAATTGATAGTTGGTGCTGAATGGAGCAAGCGTAGCTGGCATTCCATTGTCTAGCCTCACGTCATGCAGGCAGACAAGAATTCAACAAATGGCTGTGGTTGTCAAAACTTTGGATCCCATTTTGGTTGGTATGTGATTCACCACCCATTGTAGGCTTCCTATTTGAGTGGTTGGATTGGGATGTTCACTGGGGGTACGATTTGGTTTTGGTCGTTGGTCTGAGTGAATTTCTGAGTGGGGCTGAAAAAATACGGTTTAAACACCATGGCCACCTTTCCAAGGGAAGAATCATCACCAGTGGTTTACACATGTTTAAACCAATGCGTGGCCCCACCCTATGAATTATAACGACCTCACACGACCTCACCCCAAATGGTGGTTTATGTGGCGAATAACCCCGCCAACCACCTTATTTCAGGTTGGTGAAATATTTTAATTCACCCAGGTTGGTTGCATTTGCCAAGGGTGCCGGCAGTCGTCGAGTCGATGGGTCTGTGCTCGATGGCTCTCGGATGGGGCAGATCCGAAAAAGGGAGGATCCTTAGGATGTGGGGAATTGGGGTGGGTGTTCATGCGGGTATCGGGCCAGTATTCCCATGTGGATCTGAAGCGTGCATGCCAGGGCCTGCCCTTGCTGGAGCTCAACCTGTGCTGATGTGTTGTGGTTCTGTCAATAGAAAAGCAGAGGGCCTGCATCAACGCTTGGGCACCATTTGAAACAATGGGTTTGTGTTGTTTGAAGCTGCTATCTTCAAAGACGAACGCGGGGCAGGTTGCTGCTTCCTTGTTCCAAAACGAGAATCAAAGCGCAGGACCGGACCTTGGTTTTGATAGTCATCTCCAAACTGATTAATATGGGACCTAAGGGAGTTTTTGAGTTTCGAGTCAGGCGCGTTCCTCAAATAGCGGACCCATGGTTTCCTTCTGGTTTCCCCTATGGGGACCGAGTGGAGGACTGGCTGCCGACTTTGTTTTCCCCGGTTTGGCCCCGTTTTCGTTAAGGCACATGGTTTTGCATGTGCTCCCCCAAAAATGGAGGCGTTCCTTCTGCTTCCCTTTAAACTGGCCTCATTATTCTACCATTATCAAGCGGGTGAAAGGGAGCCAACCAAGATTTCCAGGCTTTCGCCTCAACAGCCAAACTAACGGACACGTTTAAATTAAAACCCAACTTGGGTAGCTCATTTTCAGTCTCCGTGCTGGAGCCCTTGATGTCAGGCAATGCCCCCGTTTTTTCGGGGTGGTCATGGAGACGCCAGGTAGCTCATTTCGAGCACCCCCCCGTTTGTCTTTCTGGTCCTCAGCAGAACATGAGGGAATGAGCATAATTTTTACACCATCCAACTGGTGGTTTCCAGTTTTTCGGGAATCTCAAAACGGTTCATTCCAATGATTCCCTATCACACCAGCCAGCAAACCCCCAACCGACTCCGACTGGTCTTCAGGTTCATTCATGCCCTTCCCTACCCACCGCAGCCAGCAAGTTGTTTCGCGCTTGAGGTGAGCTCCTGCTGCGTGAAGCCCACGGCGCGCTTCGTGGTCCTGGCGCTGCTGGGCGCCGCGTTCCTGGCGGACCGCCTGGCCGCCAAGGCGGCTCCGCTGGGCCTCCGCTGGGCGGCGCTCGCGGACTTCGCCGCGGCGCCGCGGGGGGAAATTTGGGCACTTTGGGGGGGGGGGAGGTAGGGGGAAAGCTCTCTCTCTCTCTCTCTCTCTCTCTCTCTCTCTCTCTCTCTCTCTCTCTCTCTCTCTCTCTCTCTCTCTCTCTCTCTCTCTCACCCGAGGTTTTCTATGAAACGCGGTATGTGTGCCTATATATATATATACAAGTATATTGTACTACATATATATATATATGGTACACCCCCGCAAAACCCACCTGTTTGCAGAATTACCTGGTATATCTAGTGAATTTAGCCTTGTTTGGGGGTCTGAAAAAGATGTCAAAAAAGGGCAGTTCCAAGGGCAGCTACTTTGGACGCTTCATGCTCTGGCGAACCCTCAAAAAACTGAAACAATCGGAAAACCAGACTCTCTGAGAGAAAGATAGCTGGAAACCGAAAAAAAGAAGAAGAAACCAAAAGCGAAAACATACTCCCTGAGGGAAAGGTAGGTGGCAGACATCCTCCCACAGGAGTATGTGTCTTTTCTCCTCCCAGTGGTTTTTTCTCCTCGGAGTTTTTTGTCTTTTTATTCTCCGGTTTTCCCGCTTGTCTGAGCTAGCAAAACCACATCTGCCAAGTAGCCTTCTTCAGGTCTCAAGCTCAAGCTTTCTGACTTCCTTTGTGTTTTATTCTATTATTTCATTCACTGGTTTAAACAATGTAGTCAAGGCTTAGGAATCTAGGAAATCCTGCAGTGGATCTAGGATTACATGATACATATTATGTTGTAGCACATGTTCAGTGTGTTCTTTCTTTAGGAGCTAGAATTGCTATCTTCTCTAGAATCATCTTCAATGGAGAACATATTGTTAGTACGAATAAGTGATTACTTTCATCGTTATGTACACACTCTCTCGCTCTCTCTGTCTCTTTATCATTGTTATTTAACATTCATGGCTATTATTCTTGCCTTTTCTCCAATGCATCTCTTAGGATTTAATGTTATGCCAAGAAGAATCCCATCCTTTGCAGATTCAGTTCATTCCCCCACAGATCAAAAAGGTGGGTTTTGTGATGGGGGGGTAGCACATATATATATATATATGTCTAGTATATGTTTGTATACATATACGCGCATATACGTGATACGTGCAGCGTATGTACTATTAAGCAACATTTATGATGTGCATGGACAAGCGAAAAGCGGTACTGGCTTGACCCCTTGAATCTCGAGGGCGGCTTTGCGACCCCCTTTAAGCAATCCATGAAAGTGGACAAGGGATTGATCCAAGGAGGATGCCACTCATGTCCTTTTCCATGCATGAGGGATGTTGACCATAGAATGAGCTAGCTCTACCAGCCCATTTGGCGGTAGTAACTAGCTAAATATTCAGCACCCGTTGCTTCACACTTAGTAACCCCGGTGTAAACCCTTATCATAATTGTCAATGCCTAGTTAACTCACTCCCAGACGATGCAAGCAGGTCTGCGTCAGTTTTTGCTTGTCTGACCTTCACTCCGCATCAATAGACTTGTTTTAGGCAAGGTGCTGCTTTCTGGGGCCTGTGCCGTCCAACTTGAGCCTGATTCAAATCAGGTTCAATTCAATTGCATATTCCGCGAGGAAAGGGGATGCCATAGACCGCAACATCTGAATCGGCACCTCGTTTGCCAAATTTGTTCTGGATGCCATAGCTAAGGAGCATCGCTAGCCGAATTTTCAGGGGCCAAAGTGGACAGTGATCCTTGCTGCAGACCTCTAGCCAGCTGTTTCGGAACACAGGCTCGTCCTGACTCAGGCCTTGCTTTGCCTGAACTTCCCCGAGCTTCGACGCTTCCCACGGCTCTCCGAATGGGCGGAGGGCTATGCAGGGCTGCGGGCTGCGTCCTCCCAGAAGAAGACGGGGAGGTGCGGACTGGGAAGCCCAACGTGCGTTCTGACATGAGTTCTGCGCAATTTGGCGCGTACAGACATGGTTTTGCTGGCTGGTTGGAAAACTGATGTTCCTCTTGAACAAATAGTTTGACAACGTGCTAGGGTTATTACTTGCATGCTGCTGCTGCTGCTGCTGCTGCTGCTGCTGCTGCTGCTGCTGCTGCTGCTGCTGCTAGCAACGCACCTTCTTGAACGTCTAGCACTTGCATCGCTGCTTCTACAACAACTGCTTCTGCTGCCAGTGCTGCTGCGACTCACACTACAAAGCTGTATCCGCTTGCTTCATGGTTTCATGATAGAAGCCGCTTCCTTGCCAGCAAGTAGGTGAGGCAGAGTGGTGGGGTGGGGCGCAGGATTCTGCGAATTCATCGGTGCCGACCATAAAATCCTCCTGCGAATTCCTGAGATACCATTTTGCCGGACATCCGAGCGTTTTGGCGTTTGCAAGGTAAGCTTCAGGAATTCATGCGTGCCCGCGGTTTCAGGCAGCAGCGGCGGGCAGACATTGTGGGGGGCCTGCGGCGATTGAGCGCGCGCCTGCTGAAACACCCGCTGCCGGAAGTAGAGGAAGCGCAGGACTGGCGACTTTCGGGCGGACGCGGGCAGCCAGGATTTTAGACCGCGAAGGTAAGGGAGTAAGAGAAACATTGAATGCATTGAAACATTTTGCTCCAACATGATGGTCATTGAATGCATTCTGCTTTGTAGGGACACTGGGGAACGGGACAAGCCTTTGCAGACGAGTGTGGGATTTGAGTGGTCAGCCCGGTAGATGATGCAAGACGCGAGACAGCTGACAGGTGGAGGGCTGGAGTAGAAGCGCGGATACGTCGACAAGAGGTGTAGCCCCTGTGAAATCATAGCCCCTGACTTCGCTAGTCAAAGCTTTAAGGTCACCTTTGGATGCCGCTGGTAGTGCAGTTCCTGCTAGGACCCTGCTTTCTTGAACTGCCTGCTGGCGGCTCGGCCTGGGTCGGGCCTTTGGAACCTTTGGGTGGTATGGCAAGGCAATAGAAGCACCCGTGTTGGCATCGCACGGCAGGCCTTTGCAAGGAAGCCTCTTGTGGTTTCCTGGACAAGCAATGCCTGGGCTAAGACTTAGGCCCTCATGTGATACACCAACGAGCGCACGCTCATTTGAAGCGTGTCAAATGCAAGTGTCAGGCCGGTTTGTTTCAACATTCTGCTGCATTTCTGGGAAGGCTCTTTCTTCGATGCCGTCGGGACAATGCAAAGAAGAGAGCAAGCAACAGTTTGTGTCTTCTCACCGTTGGCTTTGCTCAATGCATTTCTTGTGTTGACTTGAATGACACCCGAAGAACTTCCCCCGTTACCAAGAGCCTTCTGGGTGGAAATTCCATCAGGCGTGCAGCGCTGAAAGGTTGACACATGTGGCATTGTATGTTGTTAGTTGAAGTAGGGCCAGCAGGATTTGAGCCTGCAACCTCTGCGATTAGAGGTCGCGGCGCGGCACCATTGCGCCATGTCCCCCTGTAAATTTGTTTGACCAACAAGTTCGTTCTGCTATTTATTATGGTTGGTGCAAAATTCAAGGAAGCGTGCTGTCATTGCAAGCAGCCATCATTGCAGCGGTCCCGTGCGGCTGTGAATTCATATATGCCACAAACCAGAAGATCGCTGAAGGCACCTGGTTGCTTTTTGTGCAATCGGAAGTCGATCTCCGTTGAGGTGGAGCTATGGCCAAGCCTTCGGGGAATGCTTGAGGAGGATGTGCTGAAAGGTGAGGTGCAAGCGGTTTTGCAGGAGTGATGCAGTTGCCGGTTCTCAGATTCTGCGTTTCCCGTGGGCTTGAGATAGGGTTCTTTGGACATAAGTCAAAGTCAGCTGTATCAATGCACTTTGTATGTGTTTGAGCGTGGGCGTGAACCTTGTTCCAGGCCCGACATGGTGCACGGACTGGTACCTGGTTAAGATAGGGTGTGCATTCTTGGAAAGCATGGGCTTGGTTTTCCTGCGTCGGATGTCCAGGAATCGCTTTGCGCTCACAAGAACAAGCGCCTGACTGTTCTTTGACCATTGCTTGAAGAAACTTCGGTTGCAAGTGTCGAAGAAGCAACGAGTTGTTGCCATGCTCAAGTTCTCGCAATCAGTGCTAGAACACACACCACACACCAAGGCAGCTACAGCCGCCCCACACCAGCGCCACACCTCCTTCTAGCGCTTGGGGCCTTTACCCTATCAGTGAGATATTGGTATATATTGTTTGATGGGTTTTGAAGCTGCTCGACATGTTCCCCACAGCACCTGTGCACGGACTCACGGTCTGATTTGGAAGAACTGCTTCATGGAGGCTCCACGCCCTTTGTACGTCTGTGACTTTTCAGTGTCTTGTACCTTCGGCCTCGCCACTGCGCAAAACGGTTGCTCGCGTCACACTCCTGGAGCAGCGAGCATTGTGAATGTCGCTTGCGGAGAATTCAGCGTGATTTTCCCCTTTGAAAGACGATCGTGACAGTGTGAGACTTCGCAAACAGTTGCACGTTTGTCAGCAACCATGGAGGATGACGCGGACATCGAGGAAACTGCTACCCAAATGATGAAGCATGGCAGCAGAAAAAGAAAGATGCAGCACAGCGCTGAACGATTTCAAGCCAACCATTTTCGGAGAGCGGTCACTCCGTAGGAGAGCGTCACCGGGGCCTTGAAGTTCGACAGCGTCTTCCTGGGCGCCGAGCCTCCGCGGGCACACCTGATGAAACTGGTGCCTGGCAACCGGCGCGGGCCTCAGGGATCGGGGCATGGCCTCGGAACGGCAAGGTTTCGGTGCGCGAAGGCCCGTGGTTTTCAGGCCTTCAGGCGAAGTGTCCCTCTAATTTGCCCAACAATATGGGTGAATATGATAAGCAATATGAAGGAGATCAAGGAGATCCACAGCACCAGAAGCCGCGATTGGTTTGTCAATGGACCGCAGCTTGTGAAGTGGTCCTGGGTAATGAATCAAACAATCGACTTGCTTTTTCTCTACTGGGTGTCGCGTTTCACCAGGTACGCGGCGTGACGCACCAAGATCAATGACGGGGGGTTGCTTGGGATGCTTGATGTTTGTGATCTGGTGTCACTGCCGCAGGGCTGGTCGTAAGTGATCGACAATGAATGAAGATTGGTTGTCAATGGCCTTGACTTCTTGATTGATTTTTTTTTCCGAATTCTCACTGAGCACACAATGGCACAACGCGCAGAGGAGAAATAATTAGATAACTTGTAACAACAACGCAGCCATGTGTGTGTGTGTGTTTCCGTGCTTGCTTTGGCAGGGCTCCTTAAAAGATACTGTACATTTTGCAACCATTTGAAACATGTTGCTTTTTCCACCAAAATAAAGGGAAACCACCATTTACAAGGCAATGTTCAGGTGTGTAATGTAAGGATCCCTGTTTGGCTGCCATGATTTGGTCCAGCCTTGAGCACGGCCAAGGTCAGAGCGGAGCATCACTCTGGTGGTGGACGCAGAGTTTGTCGGAAAGGCCTGGCTGAGAGAATCGTCAGGTAGGTTTGCGCTTCCTCGTGACCCCCAACCTGGATATGGCACAAACCTTCCTTTTCAACTCAATCTGACTGTAAATCTATGCGGTCCATGGGGCCTCCCAAATGATTTGTCTGTTTTTTGGGCACATAGTTGGTTGTTTTCAGGATCCCAAGTTATTTGTCTGTTCTTTTTCTTTTGCGCATAGTTGGTTGTTTTCAGGATCCCAAATGATTTGAGTTGTTTTTTTGTACCTAGCTGTTTTTTTTCTTTTCAGGAGGTGGACATCACCCTGAAGCTGACCCTCGGCAGCTTCATGGGCCTCTCAGTCAGCGTGCGGCGTCTCTCCATGCGGGGCACGCTGCATCTGGCCTTCCGGCACCTGACGCCTCACCTGCCGCCGCCTGGCCGAGAACCCCTGGACCAGTGGTGTGGACTGGAGTGGACTGGAGTGACCGGTGGACTGGAGTGGACTAGAACCCCTGGAGCAGTGGAGCAGTGGACTGGTGGAGACTGGCGGAGTCCTTTTCGCCCTCTGGGTACTTTGATTTGAATCAACTGTGTCAGTGTTCCAGAACATTGCAGGGCCATGACAAATACACAGTTGCTGCAAGCAACTTGCAGCAAAGCAAGGCAAAACAAGGCAGAGCAAAGCAGAGCAAAGCAAAGCAAAGATCAGAGGAACCAAATGTCTCTGAGTGTATACAGAAGCTACAATGACGAATATGAAAAAGGCTTTGCTTCAGCTCCCCGAGGATGCAACACGTTGTGCATCAAGCAAACTATTTCGTGCGTCAACACACTCAGGGTTCAAGCAGATGCAGCCAAAGACTGAGGCATGTGTCAAATACTGCTTGCAAGTCACATGTTCACCGCGGGTGTTGACAACATGGCTGGGTTGGGGCGGCCGGGGCTAAGATTGGAAAGCTTGAGGTTCGCGGGTGGGTTTTCACATTGCTTCGTGCTGACAAGCTTCGACCCTGAAGGCTTCCACTGGACAGCATGTTTCCATTGGCAAGAAACTTTGGAATGTGCCAAGAAAGCAACCCTGACACAAACCACGCGTCTTGAGTTTGGATGCAAGGGCCTGCAAAGTTCCATGTGGGAGGTCTACCATGCAGCCCATTTGGAGAGCTTGAAAGGGAGAATGGCCAAGCAGCGATCAAGTTCACCAAGTTCACAGGGTGATCTTTGCAGAATAACAGCCATGGTCCTTGCTTAAACCACCGCAATCTGTGAGTGTGAGCCCTGCGGGCATGCAGAGAAGCTCAGGAGACCGTGGTGCTTCCAAGCTGTCAAGCCCCCAGATCCCGACCTCTATGTAGCTGCCAACGGCTCAGGGTTAGGCTGAATCATGTTCAAAGTGACGTTGGAACATACCTCTTCAAAAGGACGAGTCCAGGATGATTTGTAACGAGTTGTTTAGCCAAACCATCGGAGGGAGCACCTATTTATGGCGACCTCGTTCCACCCCCCCCCCCCCCAGAAAAAGAAAGAAAGAAAGAAAACGGATCCCATCAAATTTTCCTCAGGGGTTGGCATTCCTTCTAGGTCCCCCCAGCTAGGTGCCCGTTTACCCTTTCTTTGTTGGTTGGGAGGGTTCCCGGAAGAAGAAAAAAACGTTGGTACCAACTTCTAACCTCCCCAATCATTACATCAGATGAACGCGTAATGCCATTTGCAAGCTCACCGGAATGGCGCCAGCCCGGGCACGCCATATGTCAGCCCTTGGCTCGGATCGAATTTCCTTGGCGCATTGGCTTCGTCTCTTCGTCGCGCGTCTCGCGAGGATCAGCCAGGGGCTGACCATCGCCTTCGCCAATCCGCCGCTGCTGGACTTGGAGCTGTGCAGCTCTTCCGCGGTGGCCTTCCTGCCTGAGCGAGCACCTGGGATCGGGAGGGGCGGGGGGGGGGGGGGAAGGGGTGGCTTCCAGTTGCTTGAGAATATATGTTATTTTTCCCTATTGGTTGTAAAGGGAATCTATCACTACTTTTTTTTTTAAATATATATATATATATATATTTTTCCAGGGGGCTTAAACAAATGGAAGGTGGGGTTGGGGTGAGGGGTGGGGTTGGGGTGAGGGGTGGAGGGATGCATGGACCTGTTGAAATTGGTCGTCTTAGGGAGGAAGATTGGGTTAAGTCAGACCAATGTGCCCGACAGTTTTAAGCCTCGCATGTATTCCAGGATTGCAATCGCGGGATTCGTTTGAAGCCCTGGATGTGAATCGGTGTGTGTAGGACAGGATGATTCTGGCTCCGAGTTGCCAATCCTTTCGGTTGTCGAGAGTTTGACGAACGGCCATTCGTTTGTAGCGTGATTCACAAGGGTCTGCATTTGAGGGAACGCAGCGGACAAAGTCATCCAGCCGTAGTTTCAAGTTTTGATAGCCAAGAAGCAATATTGCTTCTGTCAGTGCTTGCCCTCGGTGCGCGCTTGTTTAAGACGTGGCATAGTTTTGGCACCAGCACCGCGCTGCTTGCAACGCAATTAGCCCCACACCGGAGCCCAGCAACTTTCAGTGTCTTCGCATGGGTCAGGTTGCTTGACACCCTTGCCCTGGTTTTGAACGGGTATTGCATCTTGTCCGAGGCTTTATCGCAAAGGCCACCGATGAGGGGATCGAACATCCAATAAGTTGACTTACTTTCAGGTAGCACACGTGCATTCCAGTATTTTTCTCTGAATCCTTGTGCATCCTGTTGATCGCACAAGATGCTATGGATGATAGTATCCCTACCTTCACTTTTCGGGCAATCGCGCGCAGATGTTGGCACTTTGGGGAGTCTAAAAACAGGGGAGGATGCAAATATGAGTTGTGAGCCCGCGGATTGCGGTCGACTCGGGACTGCGAATAGGGTGCTGTACAGCTGACAATCAACAAGACCTTGCTGAAGCGCTACAGCGGCAGGGAAGAAGGATCTAGCCGCTACCAGCTGTGTCTGAAGTAATTTGTGGCTAGCTTGCTTCAGATTGAAATTTCAGGAGCTCGCAGGTGAGCAACAAGTAACCAAGCATTTGCAGGGTTAAGGATTTGAAGCCGCAAGTAGCCAAGGATTGTAGGGTCGATGATATGTGACCGAGACACCCAACCAACCTTTCTGACACGGGCCCGATTCACGGACACCTCTGGAGGCCCGAGAGGCGCTGATCTCGCTGATCTCCTCCTCTTTGGCCCGGGAGATGGTGCCTTGGATGGGCAGAACGGGGGCGCAACCCTCAACTCAGCGCTACACTATCCTCAGCTGACCCTCATTTTACTTCACACCTGGCCTGGAGCCCCATCCTAAACTATCCCCGAAAACCAACGCTACACTGACCCGAATCCGACCTCACACCAAAGCCAGTTTTACACTGACCCTTAACTCTGAAGTGACGCTACACCCAACCCTAAACCAAGCCCTACACCCCAAATCTATTCTTTGAACTTCCCTACACCCAATCCCCTCCGCACTCTATTTAAAGTGACCCTCATCGCAACCTGAAGCGGGCCACATACGCCGTATCCCCGCTGCTATATTTCGTTCCTCAGTTTGTTGCATTTCTGATTTCACGGCACACCTCAATAGGATTATCGTCAATGCACGCAAGAGTTGCTACGTGCATGGGTGCTAGACAGCCTTGCTATTTAGAGAAGCATCAGATGCCTGCTGGGTGTCCTTTACCATGGCTCGCTCACAGGTGAAGCCCAGACCCATTTGCACGCAACGGGTGGTTTTACGTGGGGTGCCCGGGGCGGATGGAAAATTTCCCCCCCCCCAAAAAAAAAAATGCGCCCCAAAAGTCGGGGCCGCCCGCTTGGTCCGTAGAGTGGTCGGGTGGCGATTCGCCAGGTGCTGCCGAATCGGCTTCCCCTTCCCTTCGGCACCCTCTGGCCGCTGGCGCCTTGGAAAGCGAACCTCTTCGTTTGCGAACGCCTCTTTGAGTAGCCGGTTCTGCATTTGGCGGCCACAGGGGCCCATGCACAACTTGAGATTCCAGGTTTGGAGAGCCAAGGTTCAGTGGGTTTGAGCGCGGCTCCCATTGTTCGAACAATTTGTGCTGGGTTTGACATGAATTGAGCAGGGCATCCAACATTGTGTGCGCATTTTTGGACTTATTGAGCTTCGCCGCTTTTATTCCGAAGAAGGTTGGAGTACAACACGAAGATGTTTAGATCGTATGTCTCACACAACAGGGTCACACAGATCAACTGACTCAGGAAGTGGTAGATGGAGTTGGAGAATGAGTATCACACTTGTTTCCATATTTTTGCTTTCACCTCTCGACTATGCCTATCCACTGACGAGCGGCAAAGAACAGGTGGATGACACGCTTTTCAAGCCAGCGTGGGCGAGGATGTTGCCTGCAGCTGGATGCTGAGCATCCATCCTGCCTGATTGACGGCGGGCACATGAATGCTCGTGATGCGGTCTTACCCATCAAAGAGTCCATCTGCTGAACCTTCTATTTGCATCACGTGCTTTCATTTTGATTTGAGCCTTAAACACTCCTGCCCCAGCAATATGATCCGGACATTGCAATCACCATGCGGGCCACATGGGTGCAGTATCTTGGTGGGTATATTGTCAGAGCAATCTCAAGTCGAGAAGCGCTGTCGCGTGAGACACCTTTGAGGATCGGCTCCAGCACTGCCGCCCAGAGGCTGGTGAATGGTATGAACTCCCATACACTCGAGCTTGTATGTATGATGACCCCATACACTTTGCAGGCGTACAGCACCCAGGGCTCGCCTTTAAACTCAACGACATGACACAACTTCACAAGACTGAAGTGATGGATTGGCTTTAACGGGTTCGGCACAGCGCCCCGATATTGAAGGACACCTAGGGAATCCAGGGTTGCCACAGCCTGGCGTGGCAAGCACCGGCACTTGACTTCACTGGGGCTCGCTTTTCCCAGCAAGTTCCAACACACCCCTTCCATTTCGGAAGCCCCTTTCTTGCCAACATATTTGCAGATTCTGCTTTTACCATTGCCGGCAAAATAAAAATGGCAGAATCTTGTTCCATCTGGTCCGACACTAACTTGGAGGCCAGCTGGTTTTGGTCCAAGGTTCTCGGCTTTCGAGATCGGTTCCAAGGGCAAATCAGCAAATCCGTAGCCAAAACCACGCAGCTTCAGTGGCACCATCTTAGTAGCTTTGTGCTTGACTGCTGTTGGGTTGGATCTTTAGACTTGAACACTTTTTTTTTGGGCAATACAGGTGTTTTCCACTGAACCCCCCCAAAAGTTGTCCACTTGCAGGGGGGTGTTTTGTTGCACAGCCAAGATGTGGAAGGCGTCGGATTTTGGGACCGGTTGCACAGGGCGTGCTGGCCTGTCGCGTGCTGGGCGCCTGTGGCGCTGCTCGGACCGGGGCTGGAGGGCTGGACGGCTGGGTCTCGTAGGTCTCGCGCTTTGCACGCGCGCAGATTCTTTGGAGGGATTGGTCGCAAGCGGTTTTGAAGCTGTTTCGATTATTTGTTGTTGTTGTTTTTTGGGGGGGAGGGGATATGAACTAATTTTGAATTCATGAGCTCTGAAAGTGTGGCTTTCAGATAGGTGTCCCATGTTTATGCCACTGAGTGAAGCGGTTGCTTTTGGAGCAAGCCCCGAGTCCACTTTCATTGCTGGAGGGCACTGGCTTTTTTCAAATGACCAGCGAAGTGGCCGAGGCAAACCACTGTGTAGCTTCCGGGCAGCCGGGCTGTGTTACTGTCACCCCAACCAGTTTGGGTTCCTACGTTGCTAACTCAGTTCGGGCTGGCCATGGTCCACACATGAAATGCAGAGCATTCCAAGGCCCTTGGCTTGCATTTGGCTGTGGCTCAAAAAACCGGTACCAATAATGGAACCCGATCGGTAAGTGGAAACATGGACCAACACCTGCGTAACCCCTCCTGTTTAATTTTGAGCCAAACCCATTTCACCTCATCTTTCAATCAACTCACTAAGTTGGGCCAAGCTTCTTCCTGTCAATGGTGTGCGTATGTCGTTGGTAGGCTTCCTTGCCATCAGCATCTCGAATTTGCATACGTATCTGGGCAAGTTCCCCTGGGGTTCCATTTGCAAGTGGCATTCTCCTGCTCTGCAAGCGCCTTGCCAAACGACGAGGAGATTCTCTTCAAGGGTGAGACTTCCGTTAGGCAGTGAACCAAGCAAATGTATATGCCATGCTGAACCTCTCCTCGATTCTCATGGAGTTGGTGCTGCAACTGCATAGACATGGATGCTCTCCAGCTCCAAACCACATGCCCAGGAAGTTCAACATGTGGGCTGATGAGTCCACACATCCTGGCTTACATGCCGCTAGACAACGAGAAAGAACAGTTGCGCTTTTGTCAGTAGGAAGGTTGTGCCATTTTCGCATTTGATGACATGCACATACACACATACACACACATACACACGCACGTACGTATACACACAGATTTGTACAGCCACGCAAAACACACACACACACACACACACGCACATAGAGCACACACACACATACAGATACACGCAGATATGCAGACACCCCAAACACACAGAGACACTCGGTTGGTGAAGACGAAGGAACCCGCTTCCTTGCAGCTCTCGATTTTCCCCCGTTGGTTTCAGGTGCCGCCGGAGCGCGGCAAGTTCGGGTTCGAGCGGCCGTCGGTGTGCGCCCTCCAGCTGGGCGCATCCATTTGGCGCAGTAGGGCTGCCTTGAGCCACTCGGGTCCCACGAGTCCCATGCGGCTTGCTGGAGGGTTTGGTAACACAGCCCCCCCCCCCTTGTTGAGATACACATGTTTTACTTGGGTGGTCTTGAATCGTTTGGATTTTTTTTTGTTTGAAGCGGGGGAGGCCAGGCTCAGCCAAGTTGCCATCCCAGAGTGACGCAGTCGCGCTAAGTCGGTTTGAGTATTCCTGGTCATTTGTGTTTCAGAAATAGGCAGCTTCAACGTGGGTACTCTGTGGTTGCTTTCGCACGCAGAAATCCTTGCTGTGTGCAGATGTGTGGCCCTGTTCGATCGAAAACCACAAAACTTAAGGATGATGGAAGGGGCGCTTTTGGCACAAACTGTGGCGGCCAATCGAAACGGGCTCCTGTGTAGCTTTGCGTCTTTGGACGGGTCACCAGTTCCAGGCTTCGAGGTAATCCTGCCAGGTTTTCCAGGCGTGCAAGTTTCATTGCGGTTTGTCATGTGACTCTTGGCGTGTTCAAGGTAGGTACCCCTAAGACTGAGGAAAGCGACATTGAGCCACCGGGTGTAGGCGGTTTGGCGCGCAGAGGTGAGGAGGGGGACTTCTTGTGGGACGAGCAGCCCTTCCTCGTGGTGGACAGCTTCGAGGAGTGCGGGACTTTGGCCAAGGGTCCCAAAATCGCAGCCGGGATGTGGGCCGGGGGCTGGGGGGGGGGGGGGGAAGGGGGATATTTGCTATACACACATATGTATACATGTACGTATACATATATAATATACATATATATATATATATATATATATATATATGTATATATACACATGATAGAATATGTATAGGTGTGTGTTTTGTCTGTGTTGTGTTTTTGGGTTACTCTTTTTTTTTTTGGGGGGGGGGAGATGCGGAGGAGTCCAGCAGGCTTATTGCAACAAGCGGCATGTGTGTGGGGGACTCTCCTATGGCCTTTGGGACCGACGAGTTGGTGAACTCGAAAAACGAATACTAGGTTCCCCAGTACTGCCCTTTCACCCTTTTTTGGGGGCAGGGTGCCCCTACTAAAACGGACTACAGAAAAAAGAGAGCTGAAAGCTCAAGAATCGGACGCCCTCCGTGAGGACTCCGGTCAACTCCAAGTGGTGGAAACCAAGGAGGATTTGTTGGAGCTGCAAAAGGCCGAAGATCCATCAGAAACCAACGAAGATGTTTGGAGCAAAAGGAAGCCTCGTTCCAGGACCAGTCTTTGTTGGTGGCGCTGCAGGAACGTCACACCTTCAATGACCAGACTGCCGCCCATCAGGAGCTGAGGGTCCACGGGGGTGAGGCACAGGGAGATCTGCCAAACAGATCAGCATGACAAGCACATGAGTCATAATCACAACAAGGTATTAGAATGGTCGACCCAGAACCATGCTTCAAGAATTAAGAAGGCGGCTGCAGCTATTGGTTGGGATTGTCCCTTACTAACCTTCACTTACCCGGGTTTTGATTGTGAGTCACATGGCCGTGGGTCAACACCAATGGTACCATTTTGTTTGGTAGGTGAATTCACCACCCATTTTAGAACCTATTTTAGTGGTTGGATTGGGTCCCGTTCACTGGGGGTACGATTTGGGGATTGACCCATAGCCACATGTGAGATGCTCGATATGCTCGGAGCTGCCAAGCCGGGATTTCAGTTCAAAGAGCGACTCAAACTGCTCAGCAACCGTGGCACAAGAAGGTTCAGGAAGGAAGAATCCCAGTACTGTAACGCCCATCGAGCAGCCTAATGTCCACTTGGCAGTACGGATACGTGGTTCAGCAGGTACCCAATACATTGTTCGTAGGCCTTCACTGGTTCGATCGCTGAGCATGTCCTTTTTGGTTGCTTTCGCGCAAATAGATTGCGATTCCTGGTCTCCCAGGTGGTTTTCTCATCTAGCAGGGAAACCCAGCTATTTCCCCCAAAAGCACACCTGTGTCGCTGGGTACTTGACTGCTATCGGGTTGGATCTTTAGCCTTCAACTTTTTGGGAAATAAAGGTGTTTTCCACTAAACCCCCCCAAAGTTGAGAACTTTTTGCAGGGGGGTCGTTGCAGCAACCAAGGGTACAGCGCGAAAGCCCAGTTTTCCAGGCCATTCCCCTGGCCGAACTGGTGGAGCGCAGCCAGTGGCAGCACATGCCCAGTTGGGCGCTGCAGGCGCACATGGCTCGTAGGTGAAGATACCCTCCCACTAACATGGCACCTGACAGAGGGTCTCTGGAAGAGAAAATTGATCTTCCAGGTACCCTCTCACAGGTGCTATGCTAGTGGGAGGAAGGGTAGTGAAATGTTCATGTCCTATGTTTCTGAGGGTGTTTGTATTACACCCTGGGATTACACCCTTGGGAAATGACCCAGAATGGTTCAAAATAACACGGTTTTATCCGGAAATGTGCCCAAATGGGGTCAATACCCAGTGGGTGTATTCCCAGGGTGTAATGCAAAGACCCTGAGAATGTTTTTAGGCTGGGCTGTGCAGAGTTCAGCAACACCGAAACTTTTCCGCCGATTCGGGGGCTATTTATTTGAGCTGAACATTTATGCCAGTTCGCTCAATTGACTTCTGGCACAAACATGACCGACCGCTGATTTTTCTCCAAGGCGGCCGGGCAGCAGCCGCGGAACTGGGTCTTTGTTGAAGATCATGCTTGACATCTTTGGGGAGTTCCGCAATATGGGTATGGGTCAAAATTCAACCACCAGGATATGGACCGCAGGTTTTGGTCCATGTTTCCACTAGGGTGCCATTTGGGGTACCTATTTTTGACCCACAGCCATATGGTGCCCTTGTGATTGGCGGTCATCATAACACGAACATTATAGATGTCTGTCAGTACATTTATGATCCTCCCCCTCTCACATGGACATGAATTGAACGAAGACCAGGAGTTCTAGCTGCGAAGTGGCATTTAACAAGACATACTGTAATGTGTTCGGGTGGTCAGCAGGAGATATGGCAAGACTGGATGCTGTCAGTCTCAAGTCAACCTAACATAGAGCATTGCCGACTCTCAATGGTGGCACAACTCTTGATCCATTTGCACTGCTGGAGTGATCAAGCGTGGCCCTGTTGGGGTGTGTACTTTGGTTGCTTCACTGCTCTAGCAAGCTGTTTGGAACCGTTTTTGTAGATTCCATTTCTGAATTGTTTGGTAGTCTTGCTAGTCCTCTCCTAGCATCTTCCAGGTCCAAGAAAGGTAAATCCAATATCCTGAACCTGCTGGCTTGACCCATCCTTGAGCTAGGTGTTGGACATTCACGCAGAAATGTGAGAGGTGAAGGCAGCAAGACGTGCGGGGAGGAAATGTGTTCAAGCGCAATCCAGCAATCTCGACTAGGCCAGCCGCGACATGACGCCCCAGATGCTTGGATTTCCTTAGCGGGCCTAGGGCGAGCTGTCACATCCCAAGGTCTCAGGGCGAGCTGTCGCAAACAGATGCAAAGCATTGAGCTGGTTGCGAATGCCGGAGCTTTGCGCCAGACAAACATGATACAAAGAGTCAGGCTTCCTTTCAGGTCTGTGATGGTGCAACATTTAATTTGGCCGTATCCTTGCCTTTATGTGGATGCCCTGGGCAAAGCCGTAGCTTTTCGGACACAGCGCAGTCCGCAACAGACCATTTGTGCAGGATCCCCCTCAATGCTGGCCTATCCCATTGGACTATTGGACTCACACACCTTTTGTTTCCTTTCCGGTGTTGTGTCTTCGCTTGGCTGAGTCGGCATGTGGATGCAAACGAGCCATATTCTTCAGGACAAGTAAAGAAAGCAAACGCAGTTTGTGCGCAGGAATTCCATGTGATATGCATTGGTTTTTGAGTCAGCGATGATTAGACCATGTTTCAACGAATGGATGCCCAACAGAGGGTTGCTTGCAACTCATTTCCTGGGAGGCCCGCTTGATTGAGATGTGAAACATGGTCGAGTCGCATGAGAGGTCCCAAAGGAAGCAGCAAGTGCAGGTTTGAGCATCGGTCATTTATCTCATATGGATCCATGTGGGATTTATAACTAACGATTCGCAAAGTTAACTTCGACTGCTAATTTGAAGGCCCCCTACCCCCTTACGTGCCGTAAGTGCAGGAGATTGCTGAAGCCAGCAAGCCCCTTTCGAATACCCATGGCTCAATTCGGTGCCATCTCCACGACTCAAAGCACTTCACGCGAGCGTGCGACAAGCACGGCGCATGTGACGCATCGAGGCTGCTGCTTTCTGGCGCCTTCCATCCCGTCACCCGGAAGCGCGGCGGCTTCGTGCCGGAGCTGGGCTCCCTGCTACTGGTGACGGCCCGGTTCACCGACCGACCGCTTTCCTTTTGCCGCTTTGGGGGATTCGGCCGTCGCCCGCTTTCGGGATGTGCTTGCTGCCTCTCAGTGGTTCAAAGCGAATCGACCTTTTGATTTTTTGTTGTTGTTGTCCTTTGGACCTTTTGGTTTTCCCATTTTGGTCCATATTTCGTCATGGCCCCAACAGGTGATCACCTTGTTCCAGGTCCTCTGGGCAAAGGTCTGCTTCTGGGCCTTTCGGGTACCGTGGAGCGGGCCGCGGATTCTTGCCAAGCCAACCGAGTAATGTTGACCCCGGATTAATAAACCCCTGGTTGATTGATAGGGGGGTGTCCCCTTTTAGTGGGGATTCATCGCTTTTGGAGGGAACACCCCCTAATAATGGGACGGGTTTATTAATCCTGGGTCAACATTATCGCAGAAACGGCCCTTTACGACCTCAAGTGGACCAGCGGTGAGCTTTGAAGTATCCCACGTGTAGGCCCACAGTCTGAAGCCCACTTGGATGATCATTTGATCCAGCGCAGGCATATTGGTTGTGGCAGAGCCCTTTCCATTTTGCTAGGCATGTGCCTATATATATATATATATTGTGCCTTGATGCTGCTTTGTTGGAGAAGGCTTGTTTGGTATGCTACAGTGCTTGTCAATGTTGCAGTGTGGCCAGTTTCCACATGAAATGGCATGCGGCAAGTTTTCAACTTCATGTTGAGAAGCGCCCTGATTGCTTCAGCGGTGGTTCAATCTTCTGTGTGGCCGGCACCAGAATGTTAGTGGCCGCAACATGCTGTGTTCTTTTGGAGCCGTCGATTCCCTGGCGGCAGCCGATCTTCCGGACTCCTTTGCGCGCATAGGCGGGTTCGCAATTCTGGATGCGGGTGCCGGGGGACCTGAAACGACCTTACTCAGTTCACAGAGGGATCGACTGGGATGAAGAAAAACATGTGGCCTTATGAGGAGTTGCAACTGAGGTCACCTAAGAAGCAATGCTTGTCTCTTTCTTCTGCTTTTTTTGGGGGGGAGGGGGTATCCATAACGGACGAATATCGTCATTCACTTCACGCCCAAAGCTAGTGCTTCACGTAGTACCCATTTTCGGGTTCATGTAATCCCGTGTTGCTAGGTATGTCAGGCTCAGATCTGGGTGGCACGGCTTCTCGGCCAGGTGGATTGCGCCCGGAATTTGCCCAAGGACGGGGTGAGCGCCGCTTTGACTCCGATCCTCTGCCATCATTTGCCTTCCCTTTTGGGGATGCGACACTGCAGTCTAGTTTTTGAAGCCATGCCTTCGGGCAGTCCCCGATGTCAAAGCGCCCTCACGCGAGCAGATCGCAGATGGAAGACATGAATGAGAATGTGTCAATCCAGCCACGCCCCCTCCAACACTGCGTGCTACGTATTTTTTCTAACATGACCCACGGATCCCCAAGTTCGATGCAGATTTCGGTCGCCAAGAAGGAGCTCGAGGATCATCGTCTCATGGTGCGGCTGCCTCTCGGATGCAGCCAAGGAGCTCGCCAGCATGAGGCATTGACAAGATCCCTACTGTGGTTGGACGAAATCCATTTGGCTGTGGCTCAAAAAGCCGGTACCAAAATGGAACCCTGGTAAGTGGAAACATGGACCAAAACCTGCGTAACCCCTCCTGTTTAATTTTGAGCCACACCCATTTCGCACCACCGAAGCCCTGGAATGATGGGGAACCCCCTGAAAAAATCCAACAATGGCTTCCCATGGCTTGAAAGTGGTGCAGAATTTCGCCCATCCACAGTTTTACTTTTCGCGTCGTCTGCCATGTTTTGTTTGATTGAGCCATGGCCATGTTCGTCAATGCCAGCATTTGCTGCCAGAATGACAGTCAGGAACATACACTCCAACTGCCAGCGGGATGTTTGCCAATAGCTTCCCGGATCGACTCATTGCTCACCTGCTATCTCCAAAATGGTGAACGAGCAAAGAACACCTGGAAAGTCCAACATTTGGGTACCCAGGCAGGTTGGTGATTTACGGCTGTGGTTGTCAAAACGGTTTTGGGATCCCATTTCGGGGTAGGTGCACCACGCATTTTAGAACCTATTTTAGTGGTTGAATTGGGATGTTCACTGGAATTACGAGATTTTGACCCATGGGCATATTCTGCATCAAAAGCTTGATGGGCCGTTCTGGAGCTTGGCAGTGCCCCCAAACTGCTAAGCTGCTCGCAAGAAGACGTGAAACTTATGTAAATACTTAAGCTGAATCCTCAAGTGGCTGTGGGTCAAAGATGGGTATCCATTTTGGAACCCTAGTAAATGGAACCAATGACTACAACCTGCAGTCCCCTGGTGCTTCAATTTTGACCCATACCCAAGTACACGCAAGGTCCCTGTTGCAGCCACGCCCTGAACACTTCAAGTCTTGAGCAGAGGCAATCGTGTCCAGCCCTTGCGCAAGGCCCACAGTGCGCGAAGCACTTGGCCATGTTAGCCATCGACATCTTGGCGATAACCATTTTTAGCCAAGTTGGGGCCCAGGAATTTTCGACTTCAAGAAGCAAGGAGCCTGTGCAGAATGTGGCCATGGGTCAAAATGAAAATCCCGTACCCCAGTGAACATCCCAATCCAACCACTAAAATAGGAAGCCTAAAATGGGTGGTGAATTCAACTACCAACCAAAATGGGATCCAAAACGGTTTTGACCACCACAGCCTTGTGTCCCTTTCCTCGTCTTTTCTGACGTTTTTGGGCTTCAGGTTCCTCATGCCCCAGCGCCGGGGCCGACCGGACGCTCAGAGCTGCTCCATGTTCTGCAGCCGGGTGCCGCCCGTGCAGGCCGGCTCTCGGGTCTGGTGTTGCGTTCTGGGCTCATATGGGTGTGGGTCAAAAATAGGTACCCAGAATGTAACTTTGGAACCAAGGACTACCTGTGGTTTTTCTGGTGGTTAATTTTGACCCACACCCATATGGGACTGAGTCACTGCGGTGACTTGTTTGCTGTGTTGGAAGCATCCAATTCCCCAAATTGCGTCGGTATTGGTTTGTGAGGGCTCGCTTTGGTTTGTGGTTGGACAGCAGCGGGTGTTGCAGAAGGCCATTACCAGGACTCCGGGCGTTGGTTGCTCAATGGTGTTGGGTTCCTCGTTGGACTGTAGATTCGGTGGCTGGTGTTGCTTTCTGGGCTCGCAAAGGGACTGAGGTGGTGAGCGGTTTGCGGTGTTGGGCAGAATTCAATTCCGCAAACGATATATTGCACCCCATTGTTAACAAGATATGGGGAATGCATTTGTTGTGAAGGGGTGCCTGGTTGAAAGGTGCGTTGCCGATGTCTTAATATGTTTAGTATTGTGTTACGTGTCTGTGTTTGGTCGGTCACCCACAGCAAACAAGCGTCCGTATGCTAGTTTTGAGCAAGGAATCTGGGTATTTGTTTGCTTCTCAGCAAGGCAAGGCCGTGAGGCCACTAATTCAGCTTGACGGGGGTCTGGGCAGCCTGTTTTTGGGGTGTTGGGAAAAGCTGTGTCCCATCCAAGAACACGATGTCAAGTGGCCGTAACGTTTGCTGAGTGATCAGAGTTGTTGTTACTTGTTGGCACTTGGACTCTGGATGATTCATTCGCATGTTGGAAAGATGCATGATTGGGTCCTTCACAATTAGATTGTCTCCAAAGCCTATCCCACGCTGCATCAACGCTTGGAGTTGGACACGGACCAATGCAAGCGAGTTCTGGAGTATCCAATGGGCAATAACCTTACCCCTGCCAAAGCATTCTCTCCGTGGTCGTTGGAGGGTGGAAGTCTAGGTTATTGCCGACATGTGCGTTGACAAACATTCACTGACTCTTGATTGCTGTCTTGAAAAACTTCATGTCAGAATAGGACCACCGAACGCAGCATCTCACGCGTGACCGAAGAGCGGAGCCTCATCAGTCAATCTATGGTCATGCCGCGCACCCATTCAGGCTGGGCAGGCCATGGTGGACCGACTGCTGATGTGCAACTTCGACCAGACAGCACAAGCAGTGCCCTGAGCACTTGATACGGCCCGAAAAAGGGTGGTGAGCGCTGTGACCTTCCCACGCTGCAGGTCCAGAACGCTTGGTGAGCCAAGTGCGATGTAGTCAAGGTGTGGTGGTCATCCAAGCCTTTAGAGGCTCCGACCAGAACGTTTACGCAGTCGCCCACTGCTAATTATATGGGGCTTCATATCAAGTAGTTGCCTCCAGCTTCAGTTGAAGAGCCTGCAAGAACATGGTGCATCCCAATCTGGAGTTGTCAGCATGGGATGCTGTGGGTCCCTTGTTGGTTCTGAAAGCAGCACCCGTTCTGGCGTAAGGCTAGTTGGACTGGAGACCATCCTGGCAGCAAACAGTGGAGTCCAGCTTCCAGTTGCCTGCAACCATCGCAGAGATGGCATGCGGATAGTTCCCTGATTCCATGATCTCGAGAGGTACAAATCAGCGCCGATTCCAGTGAGGAGGCGTGGCAGTGTATCCTGGTGCTTTGTCGATGGCGTCAAGGGATGGCAAAGCGCCGCTGTTGGCGTCCTGAAGGGCTTAGTTTTGGGGGTTTTCGGCAGAGAATTCGGCATGGTGTAAGACTCGGGATTCGGCAGTATTTTTGAAGGGAGCCGTCGTTCCTCCGAAGGCACCAGTTTTCTAATTCCAGCAACCTTTTCTCGTGCTGGTGTTGCTGGCTCCTGCAAGATTCGGTTGTGCCAAAGCTGACCTGTTGGCCTGTCGGACAAAAGGCGAGGCTTTAGAATGCCACGAAGTTTTCCTGAAAACAAGGGGAGTCTAGAAATGCAAACAATTTGACAAGGA